TTTCCCATTAGCATGTGTGAAGGTGATGATAATGCAAGATCTATATCAAGTTATCTATATATACTGAGAAGCGTTGTCGCTTATATTGAGCTATAAGATCAGATCTTGAGTAAACACCTACATAGTATTATAATCAGGACACGTGCTTTAGCTTTTCGTCACATTGATACTGTCTTATCCACGTTGAAATGTATCATACAGTCTGTAATCTTACAACGCATATGGGAAGGTTTTTTCAATACACGAAGTAATATTTCCCAAAGATATTTATTATGCTTTGTATTCTTACCAAATACCGTTATATCTTAGTGAATGTATAATACAAGAAATTAATTGATTATAATAGCATTGGTATGATTCAGGAAATACAACAGAACCAAAGAAGTCTCACTCCATAGCTTGTACAAGATATATGGGAGATGCGAACCTGCAACACGATATGCAACCGCGGTCAATAAAAAGAAAGTAGGCATACTATTATTATTATATCTAACTGTTTTGTTAAATTTGATAGGCTATGAGATTAATTGGTAGCTTTACTTGTCGGAAATAGTTCCTTAACTATGATTAAGTATCTCATACTGGGTGTTCTTGAAAGTGCGCATATAACCAAAGTAGGTTGAGAGCTGTTAATATCTTATGGTTATATAGAGAAAGGACTAAGCAGACACTCACCAGAGGAATCGGGAGGTTGACGTTTTGACCACTTTTGGGCTTTATTGATTTAAGGATAAGGGGAGGATGTAGGGATTGAGTATATTGTTTTTTTTACTTTGTCGGCAAAACCCTTGTGATTAACCTGATGGTAATCAGCGCTCCTATGGACATCCGCAACATGAGAGATTGCAACTGCGTTATCGGTATTTTGGGTTAAGGGTTCAATTAGGAGCTTTGTGGATTAAGGGTTGAAAGGTGAAGGATTGGGCCTTCGGTAACCTCACATAGCGAAGCGTCATCGTTGGTACACGCAGTTCTTTTGTATTCCTGTGGTATCACTCCAGTTGGGCCAGTCCATATCTGTGGGAGTCTTTCTTTCTCATATCCATTTAGATTTTATTGGAACTAACATGCCCGCTTTGATTAATTCAGTCAGAATTATTTTAACGCAATATGTTGTTGAACTTATATGAGCCCCTAGCGTGGCTTGAAACTAGCCGAGTCAAACAGGTACGCGAGTAAGTCCTTAAACACATGTTTAATTTAATTTATCACTTAAGTTATTAGGTGAGAATATCAAAATTTTGTTTTTAATAGATTGAATTTACCAATGGATAGATTAGTGATACTATAGGTTAATCGACTTCAAATAAAACACATCAATATTATGATAATAAGGTTTCTTGTTCGATTAATACTAGTTTACAATAAGATTACTTTACCATACTTAACATATAAGTAATAATTAGGTGTATGTTCACAATGTACAATTATGTATGTAAGTTTTTTGTCTTAATCTGAGATTAGTTCGCCGGGCCGCCGGGCTCAAGGGCACTTCAAGATAACGTCACTGTAAGATTTTCAAAGAAAGTAATCGAGAACTTCACTCACACAGTCAAACACTTTACAATAAAAATCATTCTTTCTCAAAATCAGCTTTTGTAACTGAGATAATTAATATTATTATAATAACTATAATAATTGATATAATGGGTTATATAGAGTTGAAACACTGATGTTGGAAACATACCGTTAAAACCACGTGACGTGACGCAACCAGTTTCTTATTGGTTGATCAGTGAAATCTAACGCAATTACGCAGCCAATGAGCGTTGCGGCATTTTAAAAAGCAACCAATCAGAATGTGTTTTGCTAAATCATGACATGTTTCAACAGTATGTTCCGACATTTTCAAGAAGACAGGAGACTTATGACTCTCTATTGGGATTTGTTTTCACATTTTTCTCATCACATAACTTTTGTATATTGTAAATCTTGTATACGTTTTTAAAATGGCATTTTTTATGTTATAATAATGGAATCGTTTCGAAATTTAAAGAAATATGGTGATTTTATATGCATCCATGTTTATAGCTTTTTTATAAATACTGCCATTACAATCAGATACAATATTTTTTACAGTTCACAGCTTCTAGTAGGTAATATAGTATAAAAATATTTTGTTAAACAAAATTATTGTTTTAATAAATTAATTTTATTTAAATACAATATTCACACTCCTGTCATCGTCATTCAATTGTTTTATTGCTTTTTGCACATTTATTTGAGACTGAGCAAAATTTATACGCCTGTGTGCTGTAAAAGCAGCTTTATAGTGAAGTCAGTTAAGTATATTTTGCAGAGATTGCAAAAAATCTTTAACGACAATTCACTAAAAGCCTTATTTACCTTTGACAACACGTTAAACCCTAATTAATATTAATTCATAAGAAGTAAATAAGTCCTTACATAACTAAGCGTTATTTAGTTACAAATACGAAGAAAAATAACACAAAAAATATTTATTATAATTGTGCTAAACGGAATTTTCATTTCAAAACTTTTCAGACTTTTCCAATTCTACATTTCTTTTTAATTTGTGCTGGGGAAAAAATATAATAATCATTAAAAACAAAGTGACATCATGAATTACCTGCAATTGCATTATATATTATGAAATAATTCATCAAATAAGGAGTATTTGTGCATTAATTTCGAAAATTCCGGTATTTTTGTACCTATCATTCGATTTGAACCAAAATGTCTACTAATTTGTGCTCCTTCCAAAAAGGTTTTTATCTATGAATTTATACTTAAATTGCAATAACATTTGTTTCATTATTTTCTGACATAAAAAGAGTTCTCAATGGCTGATATGCATTAAAAAACAAGGACCATATTTTCCGAGCTTGGAAAAATAAACAAAAAATTAAGAGAAAAAAAGTGTGATACATATCGTACCTACAGAAAATAACATTGTTTGTTAGTTGATATTATAGAAACAATTAGTTTGAACAAAGGAATAAGTAGAATGTTAAGCAATAGTATTTTTTTCAACTGTTAATTCCTAATGATCCTTTTTTATACCTTTTCAAAATCAAATTTTAGCTCACATTCTAGATTCAATTTCAAATGTTCGACATACATTTTGAAACACACGTAGAAAATCATAAGACAAGCTTAAGATACAAAAAACAAAATAGTTATAAAAATATATGTATCATTTCACTGCCATTTTGGCAACACTCAAATGGTCGTCTAGGGAGCATAATTCAATTCAGTAAGTTTCCTTTTCCTCAAATTTATTTAAACGGAGTGTAAATTACTGCCACGTTGTAGCATAGAGGATAATAATCAGTCAGATTAGTCTATGACTCAATTAGGTCTAATAACTCACGGACGCCATTTAAGTGTCTCAAAACGGATACATTCATAGAAATAAACTATGTGCGCAATTTAAGAGTTAAAAAACATATTCTTACGACTCCTAAATATCTACAATGGTAACATTATGGCAGTTGTATAAAATTTTCGAACACACATACTCACACACACACACACACAGAATCTCGATTAACATTCCCTAGCAAAATAACTGTTTAATTACAATGATCACCACTTTCGCTTGATTAAATTTATATAATATTTACATTGTTTTTTTTTTAAACTAAAAAATATTATAATTAACATAGTGACTAGTATTAAATGTAAATTCGTAATAAAACATGTAAAGTATGAATGATAGTGAACGATAAAGTCTCCTAACCTGTTTGTAATAAAATAAATATCCCTAAATATAAATGTTAAGTATATATACTAGCATATTATATAAAAACAAACGTAATACTACGCAGACTTGATACAGCTATATAAATTGACAAAATTAAAAATCCATTAGAATACTTACACATAGACTGAATTCGTTCATATACGGTGAACTGAATAGATGAAAAATATGTGTTTATTTTTTGTTTATATTTACATTATTTAGTAATATACTAAATTATGTATATTTGACACTGTTACGGGAACGCGTTAGGTCACATTTGCGGAGGAAATGTAGAAGATACTATTGTTTTGTGTGCGAAATGTGACGATTAGTTCTGTGTACATACTTAAGAATGTTGTGTGTAGATACAGAATTGATAATGTACAATGTGACGTAACTGTGGTCCCGTAAGACGCACGCAAAACGAAACTTTAACCACACTTAGTACGACTCATTTACCATCGTAACATTATTACTTTATTTTACAGAATATTTACATCAGTAAGTCGCGTCCGCATTGCAATTTCTATATCCGTGGATTTAGCACAATATTTTTTATTTTATTTTTTTATTCGAAATTCAATTTCGATCGAACTTATTTCACGAGCACATCGGCAGCCATTAATGAACATCGAATGTCAATTATTTTACAAAATCAGACTTCAAAAGTAACATTTTAGAATGACATTACTTATAGTATTGAAAATATTACTTGTGAAATAAATTCGACCGCCTTATTGAAATTCAAGTATAAATCAGTGAGTCCATAAAACAACAAATTTTAACACGCAACAATACGTCTTTATCGATAAATTAAATAATCGATGGAATATTCGCATACACTTTTATAATCTAGTTCGACGATTATAAAATCTTAAAAGATCGCCTAGGTAGTAACTAGAGCTCACTCTCATACCGACACATTCGTACTAGTGGGCTTAGCGGTACAGCGCACGGATTACAGAAACCCAATTTGGCCAAACAATAGGTTGTACCTATTCCATTATCATAAGCCTGAATTTGTTTCTAGTATTGACTACTGCGTACGATTTTTCATAAATCCCAATCTTACGATGCACATTAAAAAGGGTTGTTTCGAGTACCCAAACTGAAAGTTGAGTTTCTGTAGTAGCGCTGTAAGAGCGAGATGACGGTTTGAAGTGTGTGGGCGGCGGCGGGAGTGAGGCGCTAGGCGACAGCGCGGCGCGGGACTTGGTGGCACGCGGGGGGCGCGGGGCGGGCGCACGCTGGGGGCGCGCGGCTCGCGGGGCGGGGGGGCGGCGGCGGCGGGGGCGCCCGGGCCGCGCGCCGTCATACCCCGTCCAGCTGGCGCACGCGCACGTCTTGCGACGCGCACATGTCGGGCGCGAACGGTAAGCACGTGAAGTACGCACACGCTGCACACTCGTACGCCGGCGCCGCGTAGAACAACGCGACCAGCGCGCATAACATCCCGCCCGCCGACACCATACAGACCCACACTAATGCGATCTTTCTTCGTCTTTCGTAAGGACCGAACGTTATAAATGGCAGTAACGCATACGCTAGTAAAAATCCGAACACGAAGCCGAAAACATGCGCGAAGTTATCGATCCAGGGTAAAAGACCCAGGAGGAACAACGCTATGGCTATACCGACTAGTTTTAAAAGTGCTCGTTTCGGATGCCTCAGGAGAGGCCACGCCCCTATTACTTCTACTATTAGACACGCCAGTAAACCAAAATGCGATCCAGCTGGCCCCACCTGAAATGAGAAAGGTTACGCAGGTTAGATGCCATATTAATTAAAGCTATATTAGCACGGTAAAAGACATGATACAAAATCAATTTCTTACCTCCGCTCTATAAGGTTCAAATATGGCTGAAGCCATATTTCCGGCGACCCCACTTCCTAAATATATGACAGCTATCCTAACTGGCCCGGCCATCTTTTCCAGGTCCCTCATGAAGAGCCACTGCAGTGCCAGCGTGGCTGCTAGGTGCAGTAGACCAGCGTGAACGAATAAAGACGTCCACGCCCGGTACAGCTGGTCCGGTCGACGTCGCCGCATGAAAGGCAGCATGCCGCAAACGTCGTCAAGACAAGACACCTGAAATCAAAAGCAAATTTAATTAGATCGAACCATAGATACTTTAATTAATATTTTCGAACTGGCTATTTCTATTTCTTATAAGGTTTAAATGACCTCACTTCAAGATTTTGATGCAAAAACAAACCTGTGAACACAATGACGCTTCTTCATGGAAATAACCCTTAACGAAGTCACAATGTTCTCTGGTGGTGATGACGCATTGCCCGTGAACTCCTATACAGCAGGGATGACCAATGACCTCACAGGCCATGTGTTCTGCCGCATGACCTGCCCGACCAGCGGCCGCAGATCCGTCTAGAACTGATTTGCGACAGATCGGCCATTTTGTGATGTCGTCCGGCCATTCATGAGGTGCTATTGAGCGCGGTGCTTCGCAGAACCTGTAAAATATAATATTACGTGAGAAGAAGCCGAATTTATATTTCATTATCTTGTTTTCTTTATCTAATTTTGTTCTGCTCCTCAAAAATGAAGGAAATATTAATGCTTATACATATATGCTCATAATATATGCCCAATGTTAAGAATTGCAAAAAAAATAAGATTTAAATATCGAGTTCTTTAATTTCTGAGGATGTATTCCTAATTAACAGAATTATAATTACTTTTTCTTACCAAAAATGCTTACTTATAAGTAAGAATACGTTACTTAAGAATTACACTTACTTGGGATCTAATCCGCAAACGGACCCTGATATCCGACCACCAGGCCCCGACTCTCCCGATGACCATTTCTTCCACGTCGAGATCGTGTTCTGAAAGGTAGACAAAACAAAGTTCACGGTTGACAAGCTTGTGCTTCGCCCAATACAGGTGTGACCCAAGGAGCGTGAAGCATTCGGGCGACTTACACTAACATGCACAAATATTTTAACAAAGACACAAATCTGCACTGAGCTACAAACATACATCTTCAATACTGTCGCGCTTAAATTATATTTGTTGATAATTTTATGGACATTCAAGGGAAATTTTATGTAGATTCGTTAAGTTCAAATACTTTTCCAAAAAGTTATTATAACTTGAATCAATTCTTGAGTAATTTTTGCCAAAGATCCACCCTTTTCTGATCACTGTTGGATGATGGTCAATTGTTTTTTCTTTGGAAGAAATGGATATTAAAAATTTTGAATTATTCACAACATTAGAAGATCTATAAATTATTACGAAAGATAAAAGATAGAGATAAATCCATCATAGAAGATGAACAAATTTAAATTCTTTATAGTTAGACTAATTTCACTATTTCCAAAATTCTAGATTTATTATCACCATCACTCTATCATTGAACAGATCCTGGACAGACACAGGCAATTTTTCTAGCTACATCTCATTGCGATTAACTTTTAAAAGGATCTCGATTTGTTCCCAACTGTTAATGTACGATGTAGGTAATTGGGTAGTTTCCTAGGTCAAAAATAAATTAATAGGATGTTTCAATACAATAAAATATTGAAAAATAACTATACTTTTATTCATCGATCGATCGATACACCAAGTTTTAGATTTTTTAAGCTAATTATTGTGAAATAAGTATGCTATTTGACGCAAAAATGTTATGACGTCATAGCTCAGTTTTTCATACAAATTTCATAGAAAAGTATCGTTTTTGACATTTGGAAAAAAGTATTGAATTTGACTAGTTGGAAACTACCGTATTGTTCTACCTTAATATTAAAAAAACAAAATGTCGGCTCAGACACATACCTTTGATATTAATCCTCTTATCTATACGAAAGCGTGCGCAAAAATAGAAAATTACACAATGATCACAATTATACCTTTATCATAAATACAGATTTTATAACCTGAAACCAATCTATGTATAATTGACGCTTACTATTACCATTACTTGTAGCCGGGGTTGCGGGGTAAGCGCAATGAGGCACCGCGACCTCGGCTCAGAGCAGGAGAAGGAACAGGGGGGTTTTTAGTCAGTAAGAGTCTGACACTAAAGGGTGGAAGACGTCATTTGATGATTTTCCCCTCACAAAAAAACCATAACTGGGAAAAGTGAATGTTATGTTTACTATGTAATAAATTGTTATGTAGACCTCTACCCAGCCTTAGGAAAAAAAGCATGAAGTTTATAAAAGGAAACCGTTATTTTCTTTAACAAAACAGATTTAAAGTGTTTCTTTTGCGTTTTTTTATTTTTTTTTTATTTATTGGGATTTAATATAAGTTTATTTTTACACATTGCCCCAGACTATTATTTTCTCCTGAGTCGTAAATGCGCTTACAAAAATACAACTTAAATACACAAGCCGCTCAGACCCGAAACAACAATTTGTGACAATTATGACACGTTGCACATCATCCAGTTGCCCAGCCACTGCGCCAACAGTGCAGTCAACATTCTATTGTTTTTTTTGCGGTAAAATTGTTGCCTCGTACTAGGATTTCCTCCTGTGTTGCTCGTATTTATGGTGGGTTGTGGTTTATGTGGGTACGTTTATAAATATTCTAATTCTCATACACAAACCACTTAGACCCGAAACAACAATTTGTGTATCACACATAAAGTGCTTTTCCGTGCGGGAATCGATACGGCGACACGTTGCATACGAGTAGCAGCCAGTTGCCCTACCACTGCACTAAACGCGTAGTCAATATATAGCCTTTAAGTCTATTTATTGATACACGCGGAAATAATGGTGCCAGGTTATAAGTATTTTATATTCTACCGTCACCATATGACCTTCAAAAACCCTTTCCCTCAACCTCTGCCCCAAAGCATCAAGGTCAAACTCCTGGAAGAACTAATACCCACCGAACAATCAGCCTTTGAGGACTGCACACATCCTGAATCATCATTTCGTATGCAGCATGCTGTGTCTCTTTCTCTCCTAGCTGAAGCTGCTATTGCTCTTGCTATCCTTGCGTCCCGTCTCATGCACGGAGCGAATTTTGCTCCTAAATGTATTAAGTCAGCTGCCCGAGGCCCCAGCCAAAATGAAGCCGGTTCTTCCCATTCAACCTGGAAAAAAGGAATGAAGATATTATGAATTTTTATTTTGAACGAAAAAGAGATATCTGAAGAAATAACAAAGACACAATATACTAAAAGATTATCGAGACTCCTTTGATAAGACATTTTTTAAATCAAACTCTGTGTACAACCAGGTCTTACATATTGGAGGCTTAATTCATAATGGATTACCATTATTTTGAAAAATACACATAGTCAAACATAAGTGCCAAGTTAATATTGGCTTGCTACTACATAATAAAGACTGAACTCAAATGTAAGTTCCAAAGCAGACTCATTAACTCGTAAGTACCACCCTATGAAACGAGATAGGTACTCAGAAAATTGTCGACTTGATAAATATTTCGTGTTTTAGGCGAGACACTGAAAGTTTTATAAATGATACTCAAGAACCTTGAGTATACAGATATACCGAATAAAATAAAATTTAAATTAAATGTCCTTAAACTTAAAACACAATTTGAAACTAAAAATTTTTTACGAAGAAATTACTTTTCATAAAAAATAACCGTTTAGAAAAAAAAAACGAAACACAAACAAACTAATTGTTTAATTACATACAAATACAATACGCGTAAAAAGTACAATCACCGAAATAACATCTATAGATGGACCTTTTGCGGTCACTCGCTGCTAAAAGATCGCATCATGAAAGACTGTGCTAAGCAGCAAAAAACAGACAAAAGGGACGGGCTCACAAAGAACGTGTGACCTACATACCGAGCTCGCTCGCTAATACTCTTACTTTGTGACGCTTTTCCTTGCTTCACAATGAATACGTATACCCTTTGTGGTTACTTCTAGCTAATTGTTAATTTCATATCGAGAATGTACAGTTAATAAAGTTCTTGGCGCTTTTTGGCATGACTTCATCGCAGTTTTTGTGTTTTGTTTCTGTAGTTGTTACGAAATGCAAGTTATTTAGCGTAAGTGTGTGTGTAATTTATGTTCGGTTTGGTGTTGTATTCTAGATATTTCAGAAATGGAATTTATTTTTTTGACAATGAGTACTCGTAAAATTAATAAAACTGTAAATCAACAAAAATACCACTTAATAGCAATTTTAGTGCCAAAAACATTTTGTTACATATTTAAAATAAATATTCTTTTTAAATTTTTTATAGAGTGTGTAAATAAAGTCCGAGACTATAAACATTTAAACACATTTTATGTACTAAGACAAAAGTCATACAGGCTTGCACTTTCGGTTTTGCAAAAGAACAGTTAGTAAATTGTGGTTTTGATAAACAGTACGCAACATTTTCGCTAAATAATTTGAAGATCTGCTACAATAGCAAGTTTACATACTTACATACATACATATATGCCTACAAAGAAACATCAATACATCATTAAATAATACCTTGTAAACAAGTAAAAAATGCAAGTAATTTTTTGTAATCCTACAAAACATTCAACTAAATCTTTAAATCTAGACAAATGAACGATATTACCCATACAAGTAAATAATAACATGAATTGTTGAGAACATTCTCAGACATTAAACCTGGCGAACATGTTTTGTCTAAAAGCTTTGTCGCGTTCTTCGTTGTTATGCTAAGTCCTACCTACACAAAGAAACGGAATTTGAAGGATGTAGGGAGAATAATATCCAAGTAAAACAGACGACTCTCATTTCAGATACGTACGAATGCCTTTAGAAAGCATATGGAGAGGTCTTTGCTACAATACGTTTTACTTTATCAGAGGGCTTAAAGGACCTTTAAGGCTATGAAAGGGTTCAAAATGTTTTTAGTTATTAATCAGTGAAAATAAGATGCCGTCGGTAAATGTGTGAGTTGTAAGTACCTAGATAGGATTGGATTCATTGATAGGAAAAAATCGAATGCAATTCTGAAGTATTTGGGGATCACAGGTACATGATCAACAAAGAGGACCACCACAGATGAGGCCTAACATAGGCAATGCTTAGTCGGGGTCGCGAATCAAGCGCAATAAGGTAGCTGCAGCCTGGAGCAGCAAAAGGAACGGGGGATTTTTAGTCAGTAAGAGTATGACACTCCCTTTTGTCATACCTTGGGCAAGTGAAGTTAGTTGATGATTTTCCCTCCACAAAACAAGATACATGATAAAGCGATGTTCCACGGTTATAATGCGCCAAAATAAAAGTAAGTAAAACATTTTTACCCTAACCATATATTATTATAGTCATAATATTATTTAGTAATTTGTTTTTGTGTCACTTCACTCCGTATACATGTACGTCACAGATTTGTAAGTTGTGTAGAAAATATAGTAAAAGCGTACAATTTCTCATTTTAACATTTTAAATAGTATTTCCATAGTTATCATATTCACCAGCCCATAGCAACCCATACCCATAACCCTATACATTTTTATCACATTTCGCAATAGTCCTGCATCAACCGGGGATTGTCCTTGGGTGCACATCCATAGTGCATACAGGGATAATTGCCGGCTGATGTCCCATTTCACTTATATTAAAGTTGTTCAAAGGGCCTCTGCGAGTTGGCTTCGGCCCCTCGTACGCCTTCCAAAAGTCCGGGACCCTGTGGTCCCGTGAGTGGAAAGAAACACACATAAATAATATATCTGAAGTTCATTCAATTTGTTCGTAGATTTGACTGTGTACGATTGATAAAATATCAGAATTTCCACCTAAAGAATTATAGTTACAAAATGTAAAAGACGAGAAGAAGTGAAGTGTTTACTTGAATCATGAAAAATGAATCGTTTTTCATATGATGTGTGATCTGTGAAAATCACTCGGGGCTGTCGTAACGCCATAAAAGACATTTCACGATTTTGGACCCAGTTCCTAACGAAAAGGGTTTTATATGCGTCGGAACATAAAATTATCTATTCAAGTATAAAAATAAAGTAGGCAATCAATATCCAATGTGTCGGAAACTGTAAATCGGTCTTATCATGGTAAAAAATGTGAGAGAGCGATGTTAAATATTTTCTCGATTCTTTGAAAATAGGATTCGATAGAATAAGAAAACGTCTAATCAATATTTGAGATTTACACTTGAATTCTTTTAGAGATTTTTCTCTTCAATAACCCTTTCTTTGTTATATTTATTCGTGTACATATGAAGAGTGAAGACGTTCCTCGAATCACTTTTCTTGGAAAACATCTTTTCAATCAATTTTGTCTTATATTTCTATGAATCATAATCTTTTTCTATTTACCTTTTTCTCAATATTTTATTAGAAAACTAGCTTCTGCCAGCTATTTCTCCCGCATTACTGAGATATGGCACATGTCTTATTCCAGATAAAAGAAGAAGACAAATAATTTATTTCAATATAAAATTAATCAATTAAAAAAATACTGTCTGCTCATTCCAAAGTGTAGGTTCCGATTGAGAAGAACGACCAAGTAACTCCATGGTTGCTCTTTCGCGATTGGTTTCACAATTAGATTCTTTGTTACTATAATATTTTGCCAAGGAAACTAAAAAAAAACTAATCTCAATAACATTTTTCACTAATTTTTAATTGAAAGGATCCAATCATTCTTACAAATAATATTCAATAGAATTATGCGAAATCCATATCTAGTCACTTCTGATAAGAGATAAAAAATTAATAAAATAACCGCATCATATAATTTTAGCCCACACGAACCACCAACATGACTAAGTTTAGTATGTACAAAACCCATGCACAAACAATATAAAAAATAACTCACCTGCTGTAAACTCAAGCTCTTCACCAAGACTTGTCCGGAATGTGTGTGCCTGCCGAAGCCGACAGGACCGAACCCGTAGCAGAGGAGTGACAGTAACAGCACCAGAGTCTGCACTGTGCTCACCCACCACGTGAAATAAGGTCGGTAGTCCGTCAGCTCGTCCAGCTGACGCGCCACCTCTTCTTGATGTGCCACTGATTTTCTGAGCGAACGTCTGCAATGAAAGTTCAAAGTTGTATATTTTCTGTGTTATAATCATTTTTTTAGGTCTATCTGTACACGAACTATGTAGAAAATTTGACTGTGCTTGTAATCATTTCGCAGGTTCAACTCAAGCACGGATCAACTATTTTTGTGATTTACTATTTGTTGTTTCGGGCTTGGGTGTGACGTATGTTGGTAACGCGTTCACGAGACAGAAGACAAAAAGGAAAATCGGGACCTTGTACTATCTACTGGTATACATATTATCATGTTTAAGGCCTTAGATATTTCTATTTCCTCTGATGACGGGGATGCATTGTGCTCAAAAGCGTGATTTTAGTATATTTTTTTAGGGGGCAACAAATTATCAAATGACGTCTTCTGTTCTGGACGTCCGAGTCAGACAAAATTTACAAATAAAATTTATGATAGCAAAAAAGACCACTTTATAAAGAAAATTAAATTTAAAAATTTACAGCAAAAAACACAACACATAATAAAAAAAGGAAATTTAAAAAAAGGAACAAGGAAGGCAATCATTATGCCAATCTTGAAAATGCATTCATTTTAAAATGAATTACTGGTTCCGTATCCCCGTGGTATTAATTCAAAAAGCTATTACAGCAAGTTTTTAAGTGGAACTCCGCGTAAACACAGTGATATATTAGTAGGTTCAGGTGAAATATTAGCGGGGACGTTCCGCGCCGAGGAGTTCCGTAGGTATTATTTTTTAATCTTTCTTCTGTACTTTAAGTAAGATTCATTTCATTGAAATTTCCTTAGTATCTTAATTAAAAGCAAGACACATTGCACATGCCTATTTCAATTCTTGTGCTATGGTTTTGTAAATGACATTGATTTTAATTTTATTTCTTATAACGCCTGTTATTTTCGAAAATAAAGCGTTGAAGGTCGAATATTTGAACTTTGTTGTTTATTTCTTGACAATTTAAATTGATTTAATTTTAATATAATTTTTTGTTTTTATTATTGTTGTACTAATTTTATTTCAAATGTAATATGAATTATAGATATTTGTATGTCAAATACGGAAAAATATGGTGGACCATCTTTATATTTAAGGCCTTATTATGTAAACTAAGTAATCGATGTTTTTATATGAAAATAGAACTAATTCATAAAAAGAAATTTCGAAATTGAACCTTATTATTGAATCATATTTTTTAAGATTCAATATTTAATACCTTCTTGTCGAGTACGGCCTCTTTTGTATTACTAAGCACATACTATGTTTTAAACATAGTAAATAAATTATTCTGATTCTGTAAATCGAAAATTTTTAAAACCTAGATATGTACTAAAACGAAAAACCTCTCGATGATACATATGTAAAACTTACAAAAACTCGGCCAATATGTACATTAATCTAATTTCTACTACACGTAGCATGTTATTTGATGACGTCATCATAGCCCCATGATAGCATTATTATATACTAGTAAATAAACACAAAAAACTAGGTCAGTACTAGTTCCAAGGTCATTGATATTATTTCAAATTGTGTTCCAAATCTTTTTATTCCTGACATAATTAAGTTTTTTTAAGAACTTTAAAAAGCGATATTTTGTGACATTGTAGAATATGTATGAGGCTCATCGAAAGAGGTGTGCTTTGATTTAAATTAAAATACTAAGTAAGGTATTTTGTAAACGTTTGATATTAACTATGTACTGAGTTTGACAAACCGTTATCGGGTAGTTTTCTGATTGCTTCAGTGTGTAGAAAAGTCTAAAAGAGCCACATATTCATATGAAGTATTGGCTATGTAGCCACAAAGCTCAAAACGCACACAATATGCGGCTTAACAAAATAAAAACGGCAAGAACGCGCCCCTCAGAGGGAACTCTTTAATAATTACGCGATGGGTCGATACCGGTCGTCGACCGCTTGGAAATAATTTTCTGAACAACTGTTCTACACTCGCTCTTTGTTTTACCGAGCGCTTTGCACCAAAAAGGCTTAAAACGAAGCGTTTTTCAACTTTGCCGGTATGCATTAAACGACATTTTTACTATGACTCAGCCATTAAATGGATTTGATTGTTTCCTCGGCAAGAAGATGGACTTGATTGTCTTCTAAGTAATATTAAATATTGCAAAGAATACACGTAAAGAAAAACCACATCGGTCATCTTATTGTAATAGAATTATTTTTTTTATTATTAAAAAGCGTTGCCCATCATTATTTTTTTGAAGCGTTTTTCCACAGGTTTTTTCCTGCGTCGTGGGTGCGTTTACAAACATACAATTCCACATACACATTATACCTCGACACGGAACAACAATAATTGTGGATCACACAAAGAGTTGTGCCGTGCGGAAATCGAACCACGACACGTTGCGCCGCAGTCAATTCGCCAGCCACCGCGCCAACCGTGCAGTCAAACATGTTAACGACGTAACTAATTTATTAAAGGAAATTTAGTTAAGCAATGACGAAGTACAAATCAAGGACCTTCATAGTCTTTGAGGCTACAAAACTTTCTTGCCAGACACAAACCATCTAACACGCTATCACCAAATCCTTCCACAGCATTATGTGAAAGTAGGATCACGTTGATTTAAGGTCAGAGTCAGAGGACTATATTAAATGGAACCCTCTATAGACAACCTAGGGATTGTCCTCAATTTGCCAGCATGGATGGCTGAACTAGCTATTTGTGCCTTTGATAAATCTTCGTTACCTACTTTCGCCATAATCCCTCGCTCGTGTTATGAAAATGTTCAGACAAGCCGTAAATCTTAGGTTAACATTTTTGGACGAGAATATTAAAACTTTGAGATGATTTTCTATATTAATTATTGCGCTACCTGTCTAGAAGTTATTCGTTTAAGAAATATGTGGCATTATTAAGGAGAAGTCATTCATTTGATGGTCTAATTTTAGTACAAACTCAATTAGATTGTTTTTTATAAACTTCGCTCAGTTGAATGAAGTTTACTAATACGATACAATATATGGCCAAAGATTTATATTACCTATTGGTCGTAGCATAATGTTTTTTGGTATATAGGCTTCCTTGATGAATGGGCTATCCAACACAAAAAACAACTGTTCTGTTCGAACCAGTCGTTTCATGGATTCACAACAATGAAACTCTTCAGCTTTAGGTATAAGTTTTATAACATTAGGTGTAGGTTAGTAAGTATAGTATGTCTCTCCTTACCTAAAGAATCTACCAACAACGCCCATGCCGAATTGTCGCCTATTTGAGTTGTCTGCCAGAGGTTCCAGCATCGGTGTGTGGATACGCGCTCCCCCAGCGCCCCAAGACACACTCCGCTCTGGCCTTCGATACTCCACGCTTGTCGAACCGATTGGGGATCTTGCCCTGGAATTTTAAAGAAACATATTAAATACACTCAATTGCAAACAATAAAAAATGTCTATTAAATCAAACTGAAATGAAGGTTTTGTTCTTAACCTGTGTTCTCAAGTGTGGGAGAGCCATGCTTCGGCACGAATGGGTCGGCTCGACCGGAGTGATACCACAGCCTCACAGAAGACCGGCGTGAAACAACCACAGCGTTATGTTTCGCCGCGTGAATGAGGTTACCGGAGGCCCAATCCTTCCCCGCTCCCAATCCCTCCTCAATCCCTAAATCTCCAAATCCCTAATCCCTAAAAGGTCGGCAACGCACTCGTAACTCCTCCGTTGCGGGTGTCCATGGGCGGCGCTGATTGCTTACCATCAGGTAATCCGTCTGCTGGTTTGCCGACCTAATACATAAAAAACCCTTATATGTACCCATATCTGACGGACAGAATCAAATCAAATGATTTACTAATATAATTACAACATATATGATTACAACTCTAAACGGATTCTCCATTTGAGAAAAAATGATCTAACATTATAAAGAAAGAAGTTGGGATAATAACAACACAAATTTGAATACAGAATCTTGTTTCAAAATTTAAAAAAAAATGTGCGTAAAAGTAACTATGCAAGTAATTAAAAAAGTGAAAATGGCCGCCTCTCCATAATTACATTATAAATTCATTAAGATCAAAGAAGAGCCTTTTTTTTCTGCTCTCTGACAAAATAAAAGAAAATAATTACTTTTGTGTCTTCCACGTACTTCCACTTATCTTTTAAAGTGTGAATGATAATCAAGAATTCTAAGGCTTCACTAAATTTAGATTGTAACTATGTAAGGATTTGGCTTTCTAGATTCTTATAATAGTGTGTTTAAGGGCTATTTTACTTTGTGTATTGATTTTGTTTTATATTATTTTTACGATATGTTGATTAACATTCTGTTAATTTTAAACAAATGCAGATCACTCAAGATACAAATTGTAGTGGATTTTACATGTAACAATAGTAAATATTTGTTTTTCATCAATATATGTACCTACGAAGGCAAACCTTTCAGTTCGAATATCAAGTCTGCAAATTCTTTAACAAGAACTATATTTTTTTCGGATTCAACTTAGCCATCAGTCATATTATAAACATTTATATTATCACTGATAAAATGTATGTACGAAAAAACCCCTAAGATAATATTATTAGCAAAAATTATCATAGCTGCATATTTTCTACACTTCACAGTAAAACACAACCTTTACATATATGTACATATAAAGTATTTGTATGTACAGACGTTACGTATGTCAGCATAGTCCAAAGATTTAATCTCCGATCACAAACCCTTGTCACAAAGATTTGGGGCCGATACCCATGTGGAACACGCATGCGCACCGAGCCGTCTGTTTTTTATTTGCTTTCATACGACATACATGCATATTATATACGAGTTTTCCTATAGTTAGAGGTCGTGTTTGGATTGGAAGAAGAGAGAAATGATTTTGAATGAGAACTTAGCATTTATCACTTAGGATTTTGCTTATCAACCTATACCTGTATTTTTGGTTCCTTTTTTTGTCCATTTAGTATCACTGGCGACGTATAATTACAAAGAACGAAAAATCTTGAAACTGAGTTCTACATTTGGAAAAAAGTGATGGTTGGTTACGTATATATATTATGGGTTTATCATTATACATATACCTACGCTTTTCATCATCGGTGTTTAAGTGTTGGGTAAAGAAAAAGTAATAAAAAATAATGACCACGGTTGCTGAAATCGCTTAAGATGAAATTGTAGTATTATTTGCACTTTATTTTCGTTAAACATGATCTTTTTCTAAATATGAGAGAATACGATCATGGCTATATTTTATTTTATTTTTAACCTTAAACCTTAAACAACACGATTTAAAATGTATCGTATTAAGAGAATAATAGATGTAATTAATTTAACTTTTGTGAACTATTGACCGGTCGAACGGTCATTGGCTTGAATGATATTTACAGGGTATCGCACGCAACTGAACCTTTTACTGTGTTTAATATTTTTAGTTTAATTTATCGTAAATAAATATTAAATGACGGAATAATTCAGTGTATTATGTATAAACAGAATTTAACATTGTGATCATTATCAGAATAAATATTTTGATGTAAAACATAATAAATAAATTAAAAAATAAAATAAAAATAAATTACGATAAAAGAAAAGCAGTCATTTGTGTTGACAGCAAAAGCGCATTACAACATATAACTCGATGCGCCTCTGGTTGCAGAGGTGCATCGATAGCTTATGGTATCCTTTCTAAGATACACAATTTAACCAGCAATGGGTTTGATCTGAGATTGCAATGGGTTCCATCGCATATAGGCTTACATGGTAACGAGGAGGCTGACCGGTTGGAAAATTGGCAATTGATGAGGGAAAGGAGGTAAATATTGGAACATATTACGTGGAACTATTAACAAAATACAAAAACAAGGGTCATGAGCTTTGGAAAGAATATTTTAATGAAAAGTCCAAGGATAAAGGCATATGGTATAGATCAATGGTATCGGAGCCTCCTCACATACCGTGGTTTTACAATACTAAGTTATGCAAGCGGCTGGTTGTGATCGCGCACAGACTGCGATCTGGACACTTGCCCCTCAATAAGCTTGGATTTTTAATGAAAAAATCTGACTCACCAAATTGTGATGTATGTGGAACACCGGAAGATGTAATACACTTATTGTTGGAATGTGCCAGATTTCAGTCTAACCGAGTAAAATTATTTAAGGACTTAAACTTAAATATGTATAATGTAGGTGTATATCACAATCTTTTATCTACACCTAATTCGGAGGCTGCCGCCAAAGTATTTATGTTCGCTAGATTACGTTTTAGTTAGATTGTATTAGTATAAGGTATGATGGGACTGGCATACACGTCCCTAATAATAAATAAAGAGTAAAAATATAATAAATAAAAAAGTGAATATAATATCATTATTTATATACAATAGTCCTCTATGGTTTATTCTTTATATACACATGTTATGATTATAATATTCTACAGTAAAAAACCATACTGTTAAAACCCACAACGGCCTCACAGAAAAACGGCGTGAAACAATTACAGCTTTGTGTTTCACCGTGTGAGTGGGGTTACCGAATGCCCAATCCTTTCCCCATCCCTAATTCTCCAAATCCCTTATCCTTAAAGGTCGGCAACGCACTCGTTACTCCTCTGTTGCGGGGGTCTATGGGCAGCGATGATTACCGCCCATGGACACCCCCCTTTTTAAGATCTTGATATATAGCATACTAGCTTTCTCCCCGTAACTTTTGCCACAAACCTTAATAAAATATACATTTAGACCTGCTGAAAAAAAAAATCATAAAAACAAAACTACATCAAAATCTGTCACGTAGTTTTAAAGATCTAAGCATACATAGATACGGACAGCGTGAAGCGACTATGTTATATACTATGTTGTGATAGTTACCAAGTTCAAAATAGTTTTGTCTTAGCAATTTGTAACTCATGCAGCGAAAATGCTCTTAAACAAGTTTGAAATTGCTAACATTGTTTATTATATAGACATAATTATTGACACAGCATTATGATGACAGCTTTTATTAAAATTGATTGATTGAACTTCAACCCATCAGTGGTAATCATGTCGATGGAGACATGTTAGTTCTAAAACTTGTATAAATTAATTAATTAAAGTGAGAAGCAAAAAGAATTATAACACGATATATAAAAAGTATAAACATAATAAATGTAATGAGAATTCATCATTTATGTTTTATTTTTTTTAACAATTTGTTGTTTGTTAAATGATATGTTCGCAGTAATTTAGAATCTTGAAATAGATGCCTATATCAATAAATTAGTTGCTATTCCAGCTCAGTAATGATTTCATAACTATCAGAATTGTGATTGGTGATTTGAATAACAACAGTCGTTGCTAATTAACATTAAATTTTTGAGGGATAAAACTAATCACATACTTTTTCCTACATGGGTAGGGCGAGAGTCATTATCAGACTCTTACTAATTAAATGTCACCCTTTTCCTTATCCTGCTCAAGCCCGGAGCCACGATACATTACTGCACTTGCATTCTCAACTCTGAGTCAGTTACCATTACGACACTAACATTTTAGAGTCTCAAAATGTCTATAACGTTATAACAAAATTTTATTTTTACAAAATAAATGCATATTATCATTATCATTTATCCTAGTTTGATAATAAATTTCAGTTGTATTGAAAGCTAAATAATTCAATAGACAAAACTTTACAATTTATTATAAAATAAAAAATCGGTTCCAAACTACAAAAAAGCCCCGAGTTCATAGAACATCAATGATTAGTTTTAGAACTAAAATCGTTAGCTTTGCAAAAATGTGATCAATTATGATTAGCACAAAGTCGAAAATAAAAGTTTTGAGAGTTCAACGTTTGTCTGACGAGTTTGTAACTTGAAAGATTAAAGTATCATGACGCACTATCGGTTTCTGTTCTAGAAGTTATATATTTCATTGCAACAAATAAGAAAATATAGAAAAATAAACGCTTTTGCTCTAAAAATTAGATCCACATTTAAATAATGACATCAATTCCTATCTTTATATATATTTTTTTAAATAATATGTAATAGAAAAATATAATACATTGCCACGTAAACTTTTCCCAACTAGTAACATTGAAAATAGTAGAACAAATCTTACATTTTTTCCAATCATTTTGTGTAATATTAATAATAACTGATAATGTCATAAAAATGTTTTACTACCAGCAAAATTGTGACATAATGTAGTGGTCATAAAAGACATTCTTCCACATGTAATTTTATGACGAAAAGGACCCCAAAATTATTGCTACGTAAAATTTTATGGCGGTTCAAAAATGGATATGATCGATATTAACTTCTTTAAAAGGTAGTTCTAACAAAACCTAGTTTTAATAAATAAGGTCACGGTCTGAAACTTCTTAAATAAACAATTAAAATGAAATTATCATTTAATTTATGAAATTAATATTGTTTGTAGATGTACTGACAAATAAATAAAACCAATTATATAAACGTCCTCATCCACACGTAAATAAATACACTAAGGACCAAATTATGTACAATAAATTAAGTTAGCTGGGGATTTACCATACATTTTTAATAGTCAATAGCTTCATTCAAAAACATTGAAACAGATTACTTAAATTGGAGGTAAAAGATATGTGTTTTACCATTGCCAAAAAAACTAAGATAAAGATTCAGAGAAGCTAAGTGAACAGAACATCTTGCTTCAGTTTGAACGGCTCAACCGAAGTGATACAGTAGCTCACAGAAAACAGTCTTAAAAAAACTCTTACTTCTGTTTCGCCGTTTGAGAAGAGGTTACGAAAGGCCTAATCCTCCCTCGGTCGAAAATCTCAATCCCCAAATCCCTAAGCCCAAAAGGTCGATTAGTACGTAGTTATTATATAGATAGCTTACCATCAGGTAACCCTTCTGCTAGTTTGACGCCATATCCCATAAAAAACAAAACTAGCTAAGAAACCTTAAACAAACTCAATACTATAAACCTCCTTACTCATATCAGGTTTTACAACCACAACGCTAATAAAAAAGAACCAACTACACGAGCTTCAACCAGAGAAGCATATATAGTTACTACAAAAAAAAAAACAACCCCAGTAATAAATGGAAGAAGATAAAGTCCTCATACGATGCAGTGTATAATAAACGAGGTAATTAATCTGTCTCACAGCATCGCAAGATCTGCTATGAGCAGGATTATTAGGCAAACTTCAACAACTTCATGCGGTTTACTTAGTATCACCCTGTACCGCTATAACAGCTCCATCATAGCTACCAAGTTTCAGTGTTCAGTGTTTTACTACATTATAATATGTAGTATCTTTGAATAATTTAACAGGAGCCCGAATTTAATTTGATTAATGTGTTTTCGTTTTGTTTTCCTATGTTGATGATTTAATTTGATGGAAAATAAATTTGTTTTGTAAGAATTAGTTTATGTGTGTATGTGTGCGGTCGTTATTTTTAGATAGTGAATAAGATTAGATAAACTTCTTATGTTTTAATTTATTAAATACGTAATTACTTCCTAAATTGTCAATCAAAGAAAAATACCTCTCACATATAAATTAGTTGTATCAATATTCGCTGATCAAAAAAAGTATATTACTGAACTTGTAGGCTGTATCTCAAATCGAATTTCATCCCAATTATACATTTTCAATACATCTGAAAGAAATCACACAAAATCAATAACAAAAGCTTTTCGTATGATCATTTGTTTCTAGAGTAAACCCAACCAACCATTACAACCAAGATCCTTTTAAGCATTTGACTGCCGACAAAAACTGTTGAAGGCTAACCTTCCGCTAGCGTCGGACACCATTGTCCGACATGGCGTTGTAAGTGTTCTAGGAAACTTCTTACAACCATGATTTACTCACCCCTTAGATCCGTCAACAGTATCAGCATCATCATGATGCTGCAGAGGCGTGGTGGATGCCGGTGGTGCGAAGAACACGTCATCGACGTCAACTTCATCATGCAAGGGCGCCGTGCCGCGGAACGATCGCGACCATTGTGCCGACGTCGATTGACGCGAGCGCCGCGTCACCGCCTGTGGAGAAGGTAGAAAGTTAGTTAAGAAAATGCTACGAAGTTTTCAGCAAATAATATCTCAACAGAAAATCTATTAAATTTGCTGTTATGTCCATTAAAACCACAGTATTTAGGAGTTAATTAAGTTTTCTGAGCTATATAGCAAAACCTGAACCACTTATACCTACTCATTGACAACTGAACTAGCCGCTACTTAGCCAATATTATTCATTAATCACACGAAGTACCCACAACATTCACGAACACCTAGTACATACAGTCTGCTATAAGACTTTTTAATTTATTTCTATAAAACCAATCTCAGAGTGATGATTTTGATGTTTTGTTTAGTGTTTTAATACGAAGGCATTTCTTAAATAAACTTTCTAGTCCTTCTGCCTATAATTACAATAAAACTAATTAACGAAATTTGTCATTTGGTTGATATCAAACTACATATAGAATAATACATGAATCGGGATCAAGTGGCGTTGACCTATAAAAATCCTTATCTATCATCCATCAAAACATGACAAAAATTTCTTGACGACAATCACAGGAAATCAGTGACGTATTTTGTTTTTTTTCCTTTTCTTTTACTCAGCATAGCGGAAAAAAGAATGGACGCTGATTGGATCTTTTTGTCAGTTACTCTCTTAAGGAAAAAAAGATATCAGCCTATTTTCTTTTCGGATTGTTTAAAAAACGTACGCAACAAAATAACATTTTACTACGTACATACATAGATACAAAATAGATAAAATCTCCTGTTTACTATAAATTCCATAAGTCATTCAGAACACGTTAACGACGAAACTATTGTGCTTTTATCGTAAATAAAATAATTGTAATCCCAAGATATAGACTAAAAAGTATAAAATAATAACATAGATTTTAGCAATTTAAGCAACGGCTATACCAAAAAATTGCAAATAAATTATACTTTTAAAAGTTTTAGTAATAAAATTCATTGTTTTACCAAGAGTCATAAATTATTAAGTTGTTAATGAGTGCTATCAAAATATCGTGTCAAAGAGCAGTAAACTGAAATCGTGTTCAAAATAATATTATTAATGTTTCAAAGTCTAAAATGGGTCAATGAAAATGTCAACATATATTTATTGGATAAACATGTACAACAAGGTAACTAACTACGCAAAATAAAATTGTTTGACCCTGGTTGACGAACCTTCGAAATAATACAAATTATAATACTAAATGTTGCCTAGTAATAAGAGATTAAAGAAAGAAAGACGTAATATGTCTACGGTGACACGTTATTAGATAGTTAAAAGTATGAAGCTGATGAAGCTTACTTAACTTGAAAAAAACATAGAAAAACACTCCTATGATTCATTATTTGGAAAGCTTATATTTATTATGGTGTATGTCACGAACGCCTAATACAAACTTAACCATCATCAGCCTATAAGTGGCTACAGCTGAGCAAAGACCTCTTCTCACGGGGAGAAGGTATGAGTATTACTCGCTCCGCTTGCTCAAAGCGGATTGGTGATTTCAAACTTATAATTAGAAATTATAAGTTCAGGTTTCCTCACGATGTTTTCCTTCACTGTATGTAAGTCTATGTAACTGAATGAACTTACAAAGTACATATGACTCGGACATTTAAAGCTCGTGTATGAGAAGTAGGCGCCTTAACTTTCGGGGCAGCATGCGGTTTTTTTTATATATATACAATAGGGTGGGTCGCTTTTGTATGGTAAAAAATAAAGTTGTCCAATAAGTTTTGTAATAGCAAAAAAAAACGTGACCCACATACATTAAGGGAAAAATAACGAAAAAAAAAATTTCTAGGTTAACCCCTTCTACCCGCGCATTGAGTTTGAAAAACTGAAATTTTTGATATTTTTGTAATTTATTTGAAAATTAATTTCTCGTGACCTATAGGAAAAACAACTAAGTAAACCAATAAAATAAAGTGCTTTTGGACTAATTTTTATTATTAAAAAAGAAAAATCAACAAATAATACGACAAAATAATAATAAAACATGTTCAAATCACGATAAAATCTTTTTTACTTTCGAACTTAGGCATAAGTTTTCGTGATCTAATTTTATTTTTAATTAAAGCTTCTCTTGCTTTTTTATGGCAAATCTGCATAGATGCCTCGGTCACTGTTTTAACAGCTCGCTCCACAGCTTGAGTATGACATGGTAGCCGCAGGAAAAGGACTTCATCATCACCACCTGACTCAACTAGGGAATGAAGAGTCTCATCCGGGACATTGGTCAGTATAGGTGGTTGCGAGTAAGATTGCTGCCAGTCTATCAAATCGATGTATGTCGAAGCGTTTAAATTTATCTTTGGCACTTCAAAAACTCGAAGCTGACGGGGTTCTGATGGTTTCCTCGCCTTTAAAATGCGTCTAGCGGCAAGTTCTCTTACATGTTTTTGTTCATCAGATAACATAGACAGGAGCAAGTTCTCTGGGTGCGCAAAAACAGCATTTCGCCTTAGTACAGGATCAACAACACTCTGCAATTCTTGCGGAAGATATCTAGAATAATAAACCAACTTCCAAAAGTGCCTTGCTCCATCTTTACACGTCGGATTTAATTTGATTTCAAACCAAATAGGAGAATATACTTTCACTACAAAAATAGCTAGTTGTTTCAGTTCGTTTGTTGGTATCTCAGTAGCCACATATAAGCGCAAATCCTGTTAGCCTTTGTTAGCCACCTGGCATGTGACATTTTTCCCGGAGAGCGATTAGACAAATCGGAAGAGCACTTACCACTTATGACGGCAGATGTGATATCATAAAGGTAACGTTGATCAGAACTGAGGTCTTTTACATTTGAAATGTCTGGTAACATGCCTTCTATCCTTTCAAACACGATAACAGGTCGCTTCTCACAATCATCTAATAACTTTCCGATAGCACCTGAATAAGTATTAGGTCCTGTTGTGGTGCCATCAAGTTTTGCAAATAAATGTCTCAAGGGCAGTTCATTTAAGTGTAAAAGGCATATGATCCATTGAAGTGGTCGTTGTAAACGCTTTTCTAAAAGCCGTATGACTCCGCCGTATTTGCGCGTATTGATTACCGTCCCATCACAACCTATGGGAAGAGTATCCTCTAGAGACATATTCAATTGACCTGTTACTGTTTGAAAGATAGCTGACTCTAACCCTTTTGCAGTTCCATGGCTTGGAACGGCATACCTGACATAAACCGATCCTGGTTCTTTAATTATTGAAATGTGTTCTTCCACGGATGTCAAGCGGTATTTTTTGCCCCCTTTCATAACAATTTTCAGGGTTTTATCTTTTCGTCCATCTTAAAATAAGGCAGGTATAGTGTCTTAATGGCCTTGAGATAATGTTTCTTTTCGTATTTTTGTCTCGCTCGCCGCAATTTTGACTTATCGATTACTTCGTTATTAATTTTCGCATCTTGAAAAACAGCAGAAGCGACAGCAGCGGCTGCTCTGTCGGATATCCCGTATCGGTCACAGATAGTTGACAAATTCTTCAGAGATGCTATTGTACGTTTTTTTGATACTGGTTTTAATGGACTTGAGGGCACAAATTGTTTTTCATCGCTACTTTCAGACGTTATTAAGGTATTAGGATTTTCTCGAGAAGGATCTGGTTCACAAACGCTAGAATCGTAATAGGTTTTAAGCTTAATTTTTCTATCACTCAGTTTTCTCTTCCTCTTACTTGTCAATAAATCAACAGTTCCCATAATCATTTTTCTCTCCGTTCTCTGATCTATTAAAAAAGCTCGTTCTTCCTTAGGAATCTTTTGGTCCTTGGAACATTTGCATAACTCTAAATCTTTACACTTACATGAACTCAAATCAAACAGTTTTTCCGAATTTCTATGAAAATCTTGAATCTTTTCTTCTGATAAACGCTTCAATGATTTTAATAAGTTTTTACACTTTGCGTGGTAACTTTTAATCAATTGCATCACACGATTATGAGACACAGTAGGAATAGACGCTTTTCTCCACAAACATTCAACTTTAGATGACACTATTTCAGATATCTCATTAATAGATGGCTCCTTTTTGGAATTGTTCTCAAGTTTAAGCTGATGTCTTACTAAATTATAATATTTCATAACTTGTTTGTAAGTTGATTTTCGTTAATATCTTCCGGAGCACCAAAAATGGGACAACTTGTGGATTTTCGGGTGTTATTTGAGATCTTCATGATGCACAACGTCACAAAACTAACAAAAACTACTTAAAATAGCGAAAAATGTAGATGAATGCGTGCGACCTTTCACCCGGAACTAATTAGACGCACTGAGACAATGACGCGTGATCGACAGTTTACGTCCTCTTTCCCCGCTCCTTCCCCCGCATTGTACGGACGATTACTCTAATAGTTTAGGCTGATTATTGTTTATATTACGTTTATCTCTGAATATAAGAATGTACTATCATTATAAACCATGTAGTTCATACAATAAACTCTGATAAAATAAATCCGATTTTAACAATTTTTCCGAATTTTTAAACGTCATGCGCGGGTAATTAATATTAATAAATATTAAAAATAAATATACAGCTTTTTAAGTCTTTACCCAGGTCATCTTTTGCGCACTATTACAAATCGAAATTCGGAAAAAATATTTTTCGACCCACCCTAATATACAAACTTAAAAATATTCTGTAACATTGACTTGAAATCACGCTCAAAACAACATGGCACTAAATTAAAATTTACTTCAGTGAATCTGAATGGCAAGTACAGTCGAGTGCAATATACATTTCAGTGACAAATTCAGTGATACTGTAAAGTTGCAAACGGGACTCACTGAATGGATTTGGCCGTTAGCTTTTCAACTGTCGCAACAATTATTCGGACTTGCCACTGCACTAACTGGGAAATTGAATTTTAAATAGGAACAGTGATAGTCAACTGTTATTAAATTAAATTTTACGTTTTAATTGTTATATTTTACTATTAGTGTTTTATTGTATTTTGCCATTCGTAACGACCAGTTTTAAAATAGAATTCGAAATTTTTATTTATCA